ATTTGTACTCTCAAGTAGCAGTGTTCATTTAAAACAGAGTGAAATTGAGCATTCTTGCATCTACAAACTTACATTAAAGCTTTGTTGACTATAATAGAAGAGACTGAGTTTTGTCATATTGTAGAACTGCCATCCAAATGTTAAAGGTATAGATTACCAAAACATTTTAAATATTGTGATCATTAACCTCATGTTGTTTCAAACTTGTATGACTTTCTTTCTTCTGTGAAAAACACACAAACAAAGATATTTTGATATCTCAGCTGCTTTTGTCCATACAATAAAAGTCAATGGGGTCTAAGTCACACTGGACCCTACTGACTTTCATTGTTAAAACACTGATACCTTTTTCAAAATATTTTCCATTGTCTTCTTTAGAAAACAGAAAGGCTTACATGTTTGGAATGACATGAGGTTGAGAAAATGATGACAGATGTTTAATTTCTGAAGCAGTCATTTTTCTTTCTTTTCCCAATGTACAGTATACACACATATGGATTGTTAATTTCTTTGCAGAGCCCATATTGTGAGTGGATGGAAACTTTCTTTGATTATTTGACTTTTTTGCAGTCCACTATATATGGCCACTTAAGCAGCAGCCCAGCAGAAGTTTCTCTGGGTTAATGTTATGTCACTTAATTAATATTCTATTCTATTATATATCAATATTCTGTAATATAAATGAATAAATTATTATATTAATATATTATTTAATCAAAGCTAATAAGGTTTATAAAGTTTCCAGCCCTGACTTTTTCACCCGTGGCTACAGTCCACATTACTGTCATCAATTACTGTATGTTCAGGTGCTATGGACATTGCAAGTGGCCACAGAATTGTGACATTGCAATGACAGTGGCATTAGGAGATTTTTGTGTCATGAATGTGTGACACGACTGTTACTCTGCTTTCTGTGTTTGCCTTCAGGTGACCTTGGACAGTAGCTGCTGGTCTGGGACAGCTGAAGCACAGTTTGGAATCGTTAGAGCAATTACTACAAAAACAGAAGGCCACAGGGAGCAATTACACACTCACTGTTTACTCTCCTATGCTAGAGGCCAACGGGATCGAGGGACTGCTGATAGAAAGAAGATGAAATCTAGTGAAAGGGCAATGAAAGAACAGGCGATAGCGCACAGGAAGAGAATAGAGGAGGCAGGTGAGATGAGTAAAGGAAAACATTTTGCTGGGGGGCAAAAAATTTAGGAAAAATCCACTGGAGCAAATCTGATGTTAGAGGATCCAACACTCAATATTCTGTCACACTGAGCAGCCGGATTAAAAGCCGTTTTACACAGTACGTGGTAACCCACTGTTCCCAGTTTATTTAAATGGGAGAGAGGCAGCAGATGGAACTGAAAGTGACACTGCTTGCTAAGTTCATGCATACAGTGCCGTTCAAAAGTTTGGGGTCAGCAAAATCCTTTTTTTTTTTTTTTTTGAAAGAAAGAAATTAAGAACGTTATTGAGCATTGATGAATTAAATTGACCTAAAGTGAAGGTAAAGACTTGGTTACAAAAGATTTCTATTTCAAATAAATGCAGTTCTTTTGAAGAACTTTTCTAGAATTCTAGAAAAATGTATCAAATGTATTTGGTTTCCATAAAACTATTAAGCAGCACAATTGTTTTCAACATTGATAACAATAAATGTTTCTTGAGCAGCAAATCAGCATATCAGAATGATTTCTGAAAGATCAGGTGACACAAAAGACTGGATTAATGATGCTGAAAATTCTGCTTGTTCTGTTGTTTTAAACAGTAGGTGTGATTGTACCACTAACAGGTTGGATTTTGTACATGCATTTATTTTGTTAATCAAATACTTTTTCAAAACCATTTTCATACAAACCCCTATCATTCTCTTCCCTAACTCTCCATTTGATGCACTTTAAGCAGGTAAAGAAAAATCAGGGTAAAACACTAACATTCAATAGGCTACAACTTTTTTCCCCCACATTGGTTTAATTGATGCCAAGCTACAAAATCACACAATGAATGCTGACAGCAGTAAACAACATAATACAAGTAGGTACAGTATAGCAGTAATCAACATCGTTGCTACTACACTTTTTGGACTACACGGCTCATCAATGATAAAATAAAGTAATATTACATAATATGTAATATTACAGTGAAATACAAACCTACAGCCAACTATAAATATATCCCTAAACCCATTTCATACACGTTTATATTTCTAGTATATTTTCTAATCAGAACAAACTCACTCTGATTTATCTCCAGCGACAAAACAAGTTAGCATTTACAAAGTATTATTCTTAAAAGTTTAAACTGAAGAAATACCTAAAACATTATATATGATACCAGTAAATTTGAGTTTTACTTTACACACTCGGTAGCAAATGTGTAATAATTATTTGAAACCTGAGAATGATGTGATGTTTGTAAATACTGGTACAGCTGTAGTTCCTTTCATTTCATGTGACGCTACACTCTGGATGGATTTCAATCTGACTAGCTCATTGTTTTCGTGCTCTCTCCTGTCTGTCAGCACGGATGCTGGCCTGGCTGATCCAAAGGTTGTTCTCAGTACGGCTTGAAGAGGCAGAGGTGGAGGAGGTCAGCACTCTCACTGGTGACAGAAAGAGATGTACAACCCCTCAATCTCATCTCCGAAAAGGACACAAGACTCTCTGCTGCAATCACAGGCTTTAAACCCATCTCTCCATCCTGACCTTTCCCGTACCGCACGAAGGAGAAGAAGAGAGGTGGGCGGGGGCGACGGGGGGGGGATTAGCAATAGCCTGGAAAATCTTCATTTCCAGTTTCAGCGATTGAAACAATTGATTATACCACTGTATCTCCTCAAGAAAGGAGAAAAACTCAGAATGCCTTTCCCATGGATACAGCAGTGTTCCAGCTGAGAAACACCCCAAAAAAGCATTTAAATAAACATCACAGATGCCATTTTCATTATTCATTAGCTTTCATCTGCAACTCTGCTAGAGTTACTGTGGACACCTGCGGCAGGGACACTCCTGTCCGACTCCTTATTGGGTGGGAGGATGGAGGGATGGGCAAGGAGAAGGAGAAGAGGAGTTGACTAAGAAAAGGAAGGGGACTCAGTGGAATAAAGACTCGTTCTGCAGAGCAGAGACTCTTAGTGGCCATACATCAGCTTGAAACAAAATAAAAGATTTAGCATTCTGTCCTACTTACCATCAAACATCCTGGCATTCCCTTGTTATTTTAACAGCTCCCGGTTCAATTTTTAATGCAGGCTCCCGGTTCAATTTTTAATGCAGGCATATGCTTATGCTAAAACCGCACCCTGCTGCTTTCCCTCCCTCTCCGCTCAAAGACAACAAAATTCCCATCAATCCAACTGAACTCAGACAAAAAAAAAAGATTTAGGGACAAAAGACTGCATGCGTGATGCACAGTGACATGATTGCAAAGGCTCGCTGCTGGTCGTGAAGGTCAAAATATCAATAAAACAGCAGCAGAATTATGGATTGTGTTATTTTGGGTTCCTGTAACTCAACTGGTTGAGGGTGGCACTAGCAAAGCCAAGGTCATGGGTTTGATTCCCAGGGAATACACAAACTGATCAAATGTTTACCTTGAATGCTCTTCTACCTTGAAGTCCTTCTGGGTAAAAGTGTTTGTCAAATGAATGGATGTAAATTTATGAGGGACTCAGTCTTGACATAAAAAGAGGAGCTCTCCCAAAAAATGAAACACTTTGATATGGTGAAAGCTCTGGCATGCACACAGATACATACCACATATTTCTGAATGAAATGTTTTGATAGGTTCGACAGAGCGGGGCGAATCACCATGAACCCATTTTACCTCTATAATGTCATGCATTTCAGAGTATTCAACTAGACAAAAAATGTAAAAAAAAATTTCCCATTGATAATTGAATGTATAGTAAAAAATGGATGTTACATACCAGATCCGAATGCATGTTTGCTGTAGATTGTGGTGGAATACTCTCATCCTCATGCCATTCCTGTACAACTTTATTTCTGTGGAACACAAAAGAAGATATTTTGAAGCCTTTTTTGGGTGAACTATCCCTTTAACACTTATTTTTCAAAAATAACAACACACAACTTAACATTAAGCATCATTTTATTGGTATTTAATTAGTATATATATTAACTATAGGTAACATTTTATAGTTACATTGCCTACAATGTATAAATAGCTGTTTAACTAATGGTTTGTGTTCCTCAAGATAAGAGCTTCCCAAACTTCAGGGGTGTAAAAAAAATGCATTTTGTTTAGTTGTAATGCAGTCATGATGAGGTTGATGTACTGTCATGCTTCGGTTTTTTTTGCATCTAATTGTTAGAAAAAATGAACTAAATACAAAAATAAGCGAGGTATCTCACCTTGCTATAACAAAAAAAAAGTTTTGATATTTTAAACTTGCATTATGAGAAACAAATCAGATAATATTTAATTGCTCAACAGGTGCTAGTAACAAGAAGTTTAGTATCCTGAATGCAAAATGTTTATCCTAAATGCACTATAAAGTAAGTCACTTTGGATAAGAGTGTCTGCAAAATGTACATAACATGTAAATAGTTAACATTAATCAACCTGTGCAGCCTAGGTGATGTCAGCCGAAATCACAAATATCACTGCTATTGGATGACAAACTGCTCTACTGTGTACTTTACATTTTTATAGTTGCACTAAAGTACTGTGCTGTTGTGTTAATGCTGATTTCTCATTTTATTGTTGACAGAGATTGAAAACTAAGCTGTTGTGGGAGACTTCCTTGACAAGCTTTTTGGCAGAAGGGAGAAAAACGCCATTTGTGCCAATGAAAACAGAACAAAAGGGAGGCAAATGTGACAATCAAAGTGGCAAAAGACACATCCCTCCAGTTTGGCGCCAAACACGGGGCGAGGGATGGCAGGGAGGATGAGGAGGAAGTGATGAGGGGCCCAAAGGAGAAAAGCACCTGATGAAATGATTGCAGGATAGACAAAATACAAGAAGGAGATGGATGCTAGAAACACGAGTCTGTGGCACCAGCACACTCTGTAATCATTGTACCCCTCATTTCCCGCTATTCACCACTTACATTGTCTCCATCAGGAGCATCACACACACAGACACACATATGCACACAAACAGTGAAGAAACACTCTCAAAGCAAGAATCTGGACCTGATTACCTATTGTGCAGAGTTTATTATTGCAAAAAAAAAAAAAAACGCGCACACACGCAGTTCAAAACCTCAGCCCTAGCCTTCCCGAGCCACATTAGCCTGGTCAAGAGAGACGCCACCGAAAAAACACAGCTGAAGAGTGGGAGGAAACAGGCGGCCTGCAGTTTCTATGGAGATTTCAAACTTGATTATTCAGCAAGCTCAGACAGAGCCATCAAAGGTCATCATTTATTATATCTCTCATCAGCCTGGTGTCAGTGAGCACGTTTACAGGAGTCAATGAGTTTGTATTCGAGAATCACAGTGAACACACAGTTCTGTTTACTGTGTATGAATTGTGTTTACCATGTATGGTGACTTATAGCTTGTCTTCTTTGAGAAGAAAGACTGACAATAGAGGATGGAGGGGAGGGGCGATGAATGGCAGACTGAGAATTGGAAAAGAAAGAGAGAGAGGAGGAGGAGGAAGGCATAGAGTGAAAGAACAAGCTTCAATGATGTCACTCAAACGGCAGGGATTCATTAGTCAGGCAGCAATGCAGCAACTCAGCCATGAGATAGTGAAACATTTCACACTGGGCTTTTCCATTTCTCCCAACCTCTCCTTCCTTTCTTCTCCTGCTAGTTTCCCTTTCTTGTCAGTGATCCTGGCGAGGGTCAGAGCTTCAAAACTGAACCTCTGTTGTTCTGTCAAACAGACACCCAAACCGGCAGCATAGTTTCATTTGAACATTGAGATGGCAGCAGGTCGGCCTGGTCAAGAAATATTAGGGCTTTTGGAGCTTGTCTGGGGGAGAGTGGGGTAAGATTAGGCACTATTATATACAGGGGTTGGATGCAGTGTTAATTTTGACAGCAAATTTTGATTTAGTTTTAGTCATAGGCTGCGTTTACACTGGCACAAAAAATCCGATCTTTTGCTCACATCTGACACAGATCGGAATTTGTTGCACACGTGTAAACAAAAACCCGCACAAGATACGATTTTTTTGCATCCGATCTGAGCCACTTCCAAATGTGGATTTTAATCGGATACACATCTGATATCTGGACATCCGACCTACGTCTAACACACATATCCGATTCTCCACAGAACTCCCAATGCGAGGGCGACACGTTTGCTCATAAAGATTTTGTAATGGCATTTTAATGCCGGTGTGCTGTATGCGCTCGCATTTTATTGAGATTGAAACTTTTTATAGGTAAGTAATTGCACATTCAGGAGCTGGTTTTCAACCCCCGCCCCGTGAATTTTGAAAATACAACAGCTAAAAGCTACATATATTTCTCAGCAATGAGGTGATAACTTAGCAGTTTTTGTAATTAAACCGACAAGCTTGTTTGCAATGCTTCACAATCGCTCGCTCGCACGTGGGTGCATGCGTTCGTTCGTTCTCTCTCTCTCCTTAATTCGAATTCATTTCAATAAATATAAACTTTATTTCACTAAAGAATTCTACCTCTAACGAGCTGTAGATAAAATATTCTAACAAATTAAAATTACCGTTATTTTCCGGTCTTTATCCGTTCAGTCAGATTTTGTGCTGCAAAACATCCATGACAGCCGTTGTCCATGCTGGCAAATAAAAATGGCCATTCGACGTGAATTATATAAATAATTTTAACGGCCATTTAAAACCCGAGGGTATACCATGTGCATAGTAAAGCGATCACTGCAGACAATCCTTTTTGGTGGGAATTAATGTAAACACAGATATCGGATACCAGTCGGCATAGTATAGTGATCATTGACTACCATTTTGGGCAGGAATTATGTAAACCGATATCGGATACCAGTCGTGTCTAAAGTGAATGTAAACAGACGTGCCAAAAAATCGGATATGGTCAAAAGATCGGATCTGTGCATTAAGTAAATGCAGCCATAGTCTTTTGACTAAAATGCCATTTAGTTTTAGTCATATTTTAGTCATCTGAATTGTTTTTAGTTTTAGTCTAGTTTTAGTCGACTGAATATCATAACATTTTAGTTGACTAAATCTACAGTAAATATAGTCGGCTAAAATCCAATGGGTTTAGTTACAGTGCATTTATTAAGCATTTCTCTAAAATTTCCAAACTCATTATATAGATTTGATATTAAGGTTTTATCATGATACACACTGATTTAACTGCGGTGACACACAACATGCCTTTATGTTAAAATTAAATAAAACCACTTCTCATAAAGAACAAGAAGGTCTTCTTTTTAATGAAATACCAATGGTTATATAGGCTAATTATGTATTCTTTATAGCAACTTGTTTACCATATTCTTCATTCTTTCAAGCAGACATATTTATTTCTATAAATAAATTTAGATTAATCTTTCGCTTTCTGTGTGTGTATATGCTTCACTGTCTGCGCTCAGAAAACCGAACCGAATTGAGTTCTCTCTTGCGTCGTCAGATTTATCCACATGCCTGCTCTTCTCTTACTCCCACATACTGACATTTTTTAACGTTTTATGCGACGTGCAGCAAGTGTATGTTAGCTTATGTCCCGCCGGTTCATATGTACGCATCTAACTTCCTAACTATGCAGCAGATTCATTCTGAATTAATCTCTTCCCAAATCGTCCCTCCCTAACATTTTCATCTCGTTTTTATTAGTTGACGAAAATGTCAATAGATTTAAGTCATAGTTTTTGTCATTCAAAAAGAGTTTTAGTTCGTTATCGCCCCGTTGTCGTTGGTGAAAAAAATGACGTTGACGAAAATTATTCGTCAACGAAATGAACACTGGTTGGATGTGAACACCCATTATTATAATACCATTTGTGTAGGCCACAGTGAAAAAAAAAACACATTGCAATCATCTTTTATCTTTTCATTGACTATATTGTCTAGTTTGTAAATCAATAAAGAGTAAGTTGTGATCAGCAGTGTTTAGTACAAGCCATGGGTGAAATGGGTGACTTGTCAGACTTCCAAAAAGGACAAATCATATGAGAGTTTAGCAAAAGCATCTGTCAGCAACTTTAATAGCCCAGTTTTTACGATTATAACTGCATACGCAAAGCATGGCAATACTTCATCAGCTGAGAAGAACCAACATGAACTTCAACATCTGCCCTTACCAAACAAATCACCTGACTTACTGCCAAACAAATCACCTTGACTAATATTAAGTGAAAGTGAAAGTGACGTGACGTGTAGCCAAGTATGGTGTCCCATACTCAGAATTTGTGCTCTGCATTTAACCCATCCAAGTGCACACACACACACAGCAGTGAGTAGTGAACACACACACACACCCGGAGCAGTGAGCAGCCATTTTTGCTGCAGATTCGGTGCTTTGCTTTTGTCGTGGTATTGAAGGTGGAAGAGAATGCTGTTTATTCACTCGCCCCACCTACAATCCCTGCTGGAACAGAGACTCGAACACGCAACCTTTGGGTTACAACTCTCTAACCATTAGGCCATGACTGCCCCCTATTATCAAACCACTGTGACCAGTTTAAGGCTGGTAGCTATATTAAAGGCAAATGATAATAATGAAACCTTAATAATGAAATATTTCCTATTTCCCAGGTGTTTGTCCAACCCCTGTATGTTGTCTTCTATTCAAGATTTGACAGATGTAAAACGAATAGCTACTTCTAGCTATGTTTATTTCAAGGTATCTATTACCCCAGCTTAGTGGGTAAAATGAGCTGATCTAATAGTTTCGAATTTCTGTTCTGAATTCTTTAAGAATGTTGCAATCATGGAGCGAGATGCAATATGTGCTGCTGCATGAACCGAATAAAAGGTGCCTACACTAGACTAGAGAAAGCTCTTTGATTGATATAAACATGCAAGATTCATTTAGAGGGAATGGAAAGAGCCAGTCTGTGTGAGTTTG